GTAGTCCCCGTAGGGTCATACTCGGTAGGGATAACCATAGCATGTCTGTTTATGGCAGGGTCGGATTTTCGAATGGCGTCGAAGGTTTCTGAGGCGTTTTTAGCAACTGTACCAATGACAGCCGGCTCAACGCGCCAGTCCCATAAAGAAATGAAGTGTAATGTTCGGAGAAATCCACTCATAACGCTATTCGGTGGAGAGAAAGTAGCAACGAATGTACGGATGGTCATTAGTTCAGCGAGCTCCTCCGAAACCTCTCTTGACAAGAGATGTGTTTGAAACCATCTTTTGAGCAGGCGGATACTGGGGGAGAGGGCTGGGAAGCGATGAGACAACTTCTGTACTTCCTGAGTGTGAAGTGGGCTGACAATGAACCTTCTGCGATGTTCTGAAAGTGCCGCAGTGACCTCGTCCCGTTTCTTACCTGGAAGATCTTTGTTCAAGAGCTGTCGCTCCAGAAGGGTTTGCTCACGATCATGATAGATCCGAATCCGGAATGCTGAACCTTCGTAATAGACGACCTCCAGAAATGCCGAGTTCATTGTTGGATAGTCAGTGTTTTCTAGCCCAATGCGAGTGACAGTGCCAGCCTTTTCTAGAAGCTCAGACATCTTAAGGAGGAATGCGATCTTAGTTTTTTGGATGGCAATTAGATCGTCAGGCCATCGGCCAGAACTTTCGAACTGAACAACCACATCTGCGGGCTGCATTAGCTGACCAGATGAGAGGATCGGCACTTCCACACTCGAATATCGCAATACTGGTGCTGCGGCAGAAACCTGCCGGATGGCTAATGGAAGCCCTTCAAGATTCCTGAGTTCTTTGATGAGTTTCTCGAAAGCTGTCATGACGGGTTGAAATAAGCTAACATCCCTCCCCCCTCCAACCGCGCTCGTATATTCGTCTCCAACAAATTTGACATGATTGCCTATTTCGTCACCGAAGTTTTTGGCCACTTGGTATTGAATGATTTGATTATATATAGCTTGTTTCGAATCCCTAGTGCCCCACACCACACTCTCAAGTATGCTTCCGTCCTTGAAACGACGGAGTTCAGCCTTATCCCCCCAGAACGCACGATATGAGGCACCGTCCTTGTGGCCGGCTGGGGGCCCATGATCAACAGCACGGTTGCACTGCGCTGAATTGAGCAGGAGGCCAGCAATTATTTGTCCGGCCGGTGCAAGACTGCGGTTAGTTCCACCAGCTCTAATCGGTTGATCTGGAATAGAAGGAAGGGTCAAGTGGATGAGCTTTGCCCTATCGGTAAGGCTTGTAGATAAAATGTCATACAGCTTTTGAGAAAACAAGAGTAGAGGATCAAGGCCATTATCTTTATTTAGGCATTCAGGGATCGGAATATATGCTAACGCATCGAATTTGAAGCGGGGATCATCAAGCCTGTGCAAGAAAACTTCTTCGAAATGATCCATTACTGGATCACTCAAGAGTTTTAGTGTTATTTCCGCTTCATGTTTTAACTATATAAGTCAGCACAATTCAGTTAGTGAGCTTAGACAAAATATACCAGACGATATCCCCACTCTGTCATCTTGAATAATATGTTCAATCCAATCTTCCCATCAAACACATTAGGTCCTTTAGGCCAGCGTACGCACTCTGACTCAACGTCAAAGAGTAATGGGTTCGTGCTTAAATCACGAGTGGCCAAAAACTGCAACATAGCCTTGAACATCTGATAGTTGCTATACCCCTTTGCGAGAACACTACTCCCTTTGCTGCCACCGCCTTTCAGCAGCAGCGACATCAATATTGACCATTCAGCATGGCCAAATCCTCCTTGATTAATGTTGGAGCTAAATCCACGTTGCCTAAGCCATGTCCTACCCAGTAGACAAGCATCTTTGAAACCCTTGGCTTCGGAGGAGACGTCGTGCAGCTGTGCGAGATGCTCGAAGTAAGTTGTATCGGCCAAAATTGAAGAGTTGTATCGGGGGGTTGGTGGGAGTGAGTTTTTGGTTGTGTCTCCCTCAGCAACGAGCCTTACGGCATTTCTGTCGGGACGTAGCTTAGAAGCTGAGAAGGTGTTCTTGGAAATAGCAGGAATAATGCGGATGAGGCACTTCGAGGTTGTGAAGTCTGTTTCACTACCACCTGTGTCTTCTTTAGCTAAATCGCCGAGCATACACCAAGGGTTACTTACTACCGCTTGGGGCGACTACAATGATAGGCCTTAAAGGGTCATCGTGAAGATCAACATAGGAAAGCCGCAAATCTAAACCAGAGCCCTGGATAGCCTCTGCGATTGTAGCAAGATAATAAGCCCTCTTGTGAAAATACCGGTAATTGAGGTAGTCTTTCTCTTGGAAAACGGTCTTGTATCACCAGTCAGTCTCTATTGTCATAGTGAACAAAGTATACACACTGAAGGTATCTGAAGAATTAGGTCAATCGCAAAGCCTTCGTGCTGTTTTGCGACAGTCTTAAGCGCATAACTTCCCGCGATGTTCATGTATGCCGGCCTTTCATACGAGAACTTGTACTTGATGTCTGCTCCCGGCTTCGGCTCCGGGAATGGAATATGGATTTTGCACTTTCGCATTTCCCCCTCAACTTCATCAATCTATGAATAGTTAGCATAACTTAGGAGGCATAAGTGATTCAGGACACGCACTGTGGCGTCTGTTTTGCGTGGGATCTTTTCGATGATATTCTTAAGCGTGTGCAGCATCTTCTCTACCGGTGCCATTCTTTTGCGATAGTCCACGCGGATTTCAGAGAGCAATTCCTCGGTTTCCATTCGGAAAAAATTGGTCTTGGATTCATAACTCTCGCTAATAGCCTGCGCTTTCTCTTGCTCAGAAGAAGAGTGTTTGGGGGTTTTTCGTGCTTTTGATTTCGCCTCAAAGGTTCGGCCTCCAAAGTCGTCCTCCTTGGAAACAGCCTCCATTTCTTCCTCCGGAGAGAGTCCACCAATAGTCTCTTTGGCCCTAACTTCTTCATCCTCTTCCTCTATTTCGGTTCGGCGTTTTTTTGTGGCGGGCGCCATTATGATAGTTTTTATTCGTTTTCGTTGTTGACGGTTGCAGCAGGATGTTGGTGGGTTGAATTTTCAGAATAAAATTAAGAGCCGCGTGAGGCTCAGTGCCATCGGACCGTCTAATCCTTTCTGAAAAAACCTTCCAGAACAAAGGTGCCTGACCCTCCAACAACAAAATGCTCAACGAACAGGTGGTTATTTCGACTTTCCGGCCAGCACCAGATACTTCTAGTGCCGCAACAGCAGAACCTGCGATTGCCATCTACGATTTACACACATTCTCTCAAACTGCCGCCTTCAAACGATCCACGACCGCTAAGAATTGCCTTGCAATAACAGACTCACACCTGTTTGCTGCACAAAGCGATAAGGCAGTTGTAAACATATACAGTCGAGAGAAAGGGAATTTAGAGACTACGGTTCCGTTCAAAGAAAAATTTACTGTTCTCGAGGCCGGCAGTCAGGAAATTGTCGCTGGAGGAACTGAAGATGGAAGACTAATGCTTTGGGAGGTCTGTTCGAAATTGGTTCTAGGTCGGAGAGAATTCTAATGAGAATAGACTGCTACAGGACGATATATATCTACTCAACAAGCTCATCTCCAAAGACTTACTAGCATAGTCTTTGATTGCTCTTCGAACTTCGTTATCACTGGCTCTGCCGATAGTAATGTGTGTGTCTGGTCGATACCTGCTCTCCTCGACATACGAACTGGTGAACGCTCGCCTCTGTATACTCTGGACCGACACACTCGAGAGATTACTGCGCTTGCTACTGGGAGAGTGGCAGCTGGCGGGCCTTCCGATATTTTGCTCACTGCTTCCCGGGATCGATCTGTCGCCGCCTGGGACTTCCACACCGGCACTCATCTGCGAACTTACATCTTCTCTTCAATTCCAACGTGCCTTGCCATTGATCCCGTAGACCGAGCATTCTACGCGGGGCTAGAAGACGGAGGAATACAATGTGTGGACTTCTTCAACCCAGCTGATGGAGTGGATGATACTGCCTCAAATCAGCTATTCACCAGAGAATTTAGGGATGTACCCGTTGCACTGCCTGAGAAGAGATGGCTTGCTTCTGGCATTGAAAGTGTCATAACCGCTCTGGGTGTAGTTTTTGAAGGAAACTATGTTGTTTCCGGGAACGAAAACGGTGATGTCTGTGTCTGGGACGTTGCAACGGGCCATATGTTTCGGAGTCTTGTTAAGTTCAAAGGTACCGCTCAGATTCCATAAATGCAAAAATTCGGAGGAATGTGCTCACGGTTACTAGCGGGTATCGCGAGTTTAAAAATTCTTCCTCCAATTGGCTTCGTGCCTGTGCATTCAGAAATTTCAGAACAGAAACATCAATCAACCAACATATCAAAACCTCGCTATGATGCCATTGTATCGCCCTCAGTTGCCGACCTTTATGGATACACTGTCTCAACAAAATTGCTCACGCCCTCGCTTCCTGGGGTGGTTACCTCTCCATTGACGTCTATGCAAGTCAGCTTGTCAAGCTCATTTTCACCGGAAAATGACCTGTGTACGCTACAGCAACAGGCAGATGATATGACGGCTTATAGGCCTGCATTGGCGTCGAAACACAAGATCGAAGCGCTGGAGGCCGAGCTGAGGGTCCTGTATGAACAATATGACAGGCTGGCAACACTGCATAACATGACATGGGAGGGCATAGTGAAAGAGGCCCTGGAATAGATTCTCTCGGTTGAAAAATAACGGCAAACTCAGTCTGTCGATATATGATAGCTGTATAATAGATTTCTCACAAAGCTTGTCATATTGAATCGCAGACGTTTACCACTGCCATAATATTAACGGTGAGTCTCACATGACGGGTGGCCACTACTTGTACTTTCAAATATTACCTCGTATCCCCCCCCAATTGCCTCCCGTCCCCCCAAAAGAGAGCAAACTCTGGTACCGTATATTAGAGAGAATACGTAGTTGGGCCGGATCAGGTCCTAGTCAGGAAAATTGAAGCAAAAAAATGCGCCAAACCCGGATTGAACGGGTGACCTTCAGATTACCCCGAGTATTGTACCGAAGAGAACTTCAGTCTGACGCTCTCCCAACTGAGCTATTGGCGCTTGATGGTTGTGTTTCAGCCAAATAAACATTTCAACAATGAGCATCACACACCCTCACTCATATACATTGTTTAGGAAGGAGACACAAGCCAAAACACGCTAAAAATGGGGGTTCTCGAGTGACCATTATTGTGCAGATTCTTCTACAATGAGCTTCAAAGAAGCTTTGGAAAACAGTTGAGTGTTTGAAATACATGGTACAATTTTTGTCGATTTTTATCTGCTCCATAATATAGAAAGTGAGGGGCATTTAGGGTACAGTAGTACCGGTATTGCGGTAGGCGCCTGTTGCAATGCATCATTTGCATGCAAAAAACCCTTGTTTTGACAGGTATCATACCAGAGGGCCGCATGGAAAGAATCGATCTCTACTCCATCCCGGCTCGGGGTAACAATCCGAAAAGATACCGGTAGGAGATGTTAGGGTGGTTTTTCCTTTTTTTCTTCTGATGTGTTTCAGTCTCCCTCCTACGGAGTAAATAATACGCATTGGATATTACCCGGCCTGTAGTACTTCAATCCAGGTACAGTACGGTACCGTATGATAACTCGAGAAATAGTCAGGAGCCAGAGGCTTCTCGCACGCACCAACTCCACAATCAGATACAGCAATCGTGCAAAAGCCTAATGGCCCATTTAGCAGATGCGAAAGCCCTTCTCGACAATCGAGGTCACTACACCGGCCAAACTTTCCATGGCGTTAATCCGCTCCTGCTCGTCGAGAAGATTATCCGCGAGCGTATCTTCGAGAGCTTATACTGGAAGGAGCAAGCATTCGGCCTGAATGGTGGGACTGTACCCCCCCCCCCGGTGTCCGTACGGATACATTATTCTCCGCCCTTGCTAATTGTCCAGTGCAGCTGCAACATTACTCGATAGAGCGGTCGAGTTAACGTACATTGGTGGGCAGTACTCTAACCAACGGCCCACGCCATTCCTCTGCCTCACCTTCAAGCTCTTGCAACTTCAACCTAGCCGCGAGATAATCTTGGTCTATCTTAATGACCCTGATTTCAAATACCTTCGTGCGCTCGCGGCGTTCTACATACGATTGACGTGGAGTGCTGTGGATATTTACCAGACGTTGGAGCCGTTGATGGGGGATTATAGAAAGTTGAGGGTTCGTGGCATGGGCGGCTGGAGGATGACCTATGTTGATGAATTTATTGATGAGCTCTTGACTAAGGAAAGAGTGTGTGATATTGCGCTACCACACATTAAGACGCGGGCGATGCTCGAGGATGCCGATGAGTTGGAGCCAAGGGAGAGCTTGCTTGGAAGTGAAGTTGAAAGTGAGGGGGAGAGTGATGCCGAGGAGGACAAGGGAGCCAATAGTGGGGATGAATGACTCGACGATACTAGATGTTCTTTTCTTCTTTTTTTTGTGGTGTTTGGGTGCTTTAACATCCGGTCTTTCGAGCGGTTGTATGTGATAGCGATAATTAATGACCTCTCTTTGGATGACTACCTACATTTGGGATGCGCGGGTATGTGGGATTAGGATACATAACATATTTCAAATTACTTGCTACCTCCACATCCTCGACCTGCTGTCTTTCTACCACATGATGTCGGGTGTTCGCTGTCTTCACCTGAACTTAAGTTTTTCCTTGGAGTGGTCGTGTGGGTGCACATATCCTTCCTACAATAGTCTCCCTGACCTTAAGCCAAGTTAGATATTGGTACACCTATAAACTCCTAAAGTACCCAAACGTGTCCTGATTTATATCCTTTTCCTTTCTTCTTGGAGGATCTTAGCCCCATCAGTCACCCCCAGCGATCCTCGTCTCCACACTTCCCACTCCCACCTCACAATATCAACTTCTGTGCATAAATCTTTGACATAACCTAGCCCCCCTATCCACATAACTAATTCCCATAGCCTTCTTCCGCCTGTGATCCAATCAAACATTCCACCCTTGCCACCCAAATCCGTGACCCTCATCCAAGCCGTAACCCAAAACCAAACCACTGCGAATAGCGCGCCAACGAAATACCCACACGCAACCTGTCCAACCGTATGGTAAGACAAGTAAATTCTACTCACCGCTACTGTCGCTGATACAGCCGAAATTCCACCGCTGAGTGCCCATCGAACCACCGGACTAAATCCCTTCGACCGGCGATGGATCCAGAGCGAAAAATACACTGCGAAGAACGCCATGAATTGGGCGTGAGAAGAGGGCATTCCGTACCCATTTCCATACATCTCTAATTATAATCGTACCTGTTAGCTTCGTTGAATATAGGGGTGGGGGGTGAAACTTTTTGGTCGGCCCTGTTTAAAGTATCTTTTGAGTGCCCAGTTCACTGCCTCACAGGATAGTTGTCCCGCAAACATAAGTAAAACTTCTATTTCGCGTTGGGCAATTACCAGCGTCGCGTAAGAGACACCGAGAGCTTGCGGGAGGAGGGCTAGCCATGCGCATAATAGTGATACAGGATCGTCAGGGTTCTGGTGTTGGCCGCAGTTAGCTAGCGAATGGGGAGCCGTGAAGGGGAACGAACATAGTAAACATGGGAAAAGCTGAGGGAAGCAAGAGGGGGTTCGAAGTGTTCCTTGGTCATTACACTGGAGGTTTAGCGGATTGGAGTGCTGACGATTTATGAAGAGGTTTGTGGTTTCGGCTTGGGTTCGGGGGTGATGGACTACTGGTACCGGCAGGAGTAAGTCAAGGTTTAGCGATATGGGTTAGGGTTTTTTTTCGGAGCGAGTGAGGCCAGGTGATGATTTTGTAATGGTATCATAATATTATCATACATTAGATTCAATTGATATCCTGTAACTTAACACGCAAATTCTGGGGCTGAGATTAACTCGTGAATTAATTTTCGGGTTTACCATGTTTACGATCCACGGAGTATTCATGATTGGGTCTGCGATGGGCTGAGCTACTGAAGGGCAGCCAAATGTTTTATAGTCTATCTCCCTATTTATCATTCACTTCCTCTGGGAGGCTTGCAATCCCTTCCTCGCCAACCCATGTGAGGATGGCAACTCCTTCAACATGATGTGTTTGTGGGAAAAAGTCAAATCCGCGAATTTCATCAACTCTATAGCCACTGCCCTTCCCATTAAGTATATACCCCAAGTCCCTCGCTTGAGTATGCACATTGCAGCTAACGTAAACCACCCTCTTCGGTTTAAATTCCAGGAGTTGGTCTAGGAACCGCTTATCACAACCCTTTCTCGGGGGATCGATGATCACGCTCGTTTCGGTGCTAGGAAAGTCTATTGATTCGAAAATCGTTTCCGCGTTGCCAGCTATAAAGCGGGCGTTTTCGATGTTGTTTGCAGCTGCGTTAGAGCTTGCATAGGCTATGCTGTCGGCTGCGATATCCACACCAATTACGCTTGTTAGGTTCTTGCCACAGAGGATTGTAAAGAGGCCGCTTCCACAATAGGCATCTACTAGGTACTTCGGAGGCGTAGAAATAGTAGTTCTAGTGCCGTCGGGAGAGGTGGTGAGTACTGGGTAGTGCAGTTTCGAGCGAACATAATCCGTGAACTTTATTTATTAGTATAAATTAAATGACTCAGTAGAATAACACGATCGTGATCAATTGTGGGGAACATACAGTTGGCAGTATAGAGTTATTATTCTGGAAGAAGGCTCCAGCCGGATTCACAAACTTGTAATCCCCAATGTATTCTGTAGTTTGAGCATTGTTGTCCGTGATACATTCCTTCTCCTCCACCCATTTCGTATTTCCTTCTTCACTTTCCTCTCTTAGCCTCCTAGTTGTACTTTCTCGAAGTAGTATGGTAGCGCCGCGTTTGTAAGTATGGAGGTTCTCCTCTACATACTTCCTAGCGGTTTTGATCCCTTTCCTTAAAATATCCGTTCCGATTGGGCAATCTTCAATATCCAACACTTGTCTCCGACCTTTAATCAAGAAACCGATATCTGGTGTCGGAGCTCCAGCTTTAAATCCTCCTCTGCGCGGGCCATCAAAGTGCGGTGTCAACTTTGTCCGGTAACCGTACTGCAGCGGGCTTCCGACTGTATCCCCAATGCCTGGCAACAGTTTCGGATTAAGGTTGGAAAAGTTGTCGTAAGCTTTCAGAATCACGTTTCGTTTATGTTCCAACTGCTTTGCGTATGGAAGCATCTGGAGCTGACAGCCAGAGCAGGTACTGAAGTACTTGCAGCCAATGAGTGAATCATCGCGATCCTGCGAGGGGCTCTTCACAGAAAGGAAGTCGGTTATTGAATGGGTAGCCGTGTGTCGGATTACTTTTGCTGTGACGATGTCCCCGGGAATAGAGAACGGGACCACGTATATTTGCCCGCTATGCTCTGCTAGACCATCACCAGTAGACGAGAGCATTTCTATGGTGAGCTCTATCTCACTGAATGCCGGAGGGAGGGCCTGTTCTGGGAAGGGGTTTTCTGGGCGTGTGAGACCCAAGGTCGACATTAGGGAAGAAATATCTGCTTGGAGAACCTCCTCTGCCCCACCTTCTTTGACGGGCTTCGGGGCCCTTTCTAACCGGCGGCGTTTTTGGTTTCGAGGAGAGCTTCCGTCATGTTGGCGGCATTGAGGACGAGTATTTGAGGGGCCTGGGGGTGGTGGAAGTGGGGCAGACATCTTTGACCAGGCCTGGGGTGGGGTGTAGGCGACAGTTGACTTAAAGTATCGAGAAGGGGTTGGAGTAGTCCTGAGAAAGGACGATTTAAGGCTTGGAGGCCGGAGATATCGTTTGATCATGCACTGGCGGGTTTCCTCTCTTTGTGGCTGTCTGTCGGGGTGGGGGCGTGAGCGCAGGGTTGGACTTGTCATGCACTTTGATCTGGTTTCTAAAAGCGAGAAAACTTCATAGATACTGACACAACCCTAAGCCCTAAGACATAATTATTAGATAGTGTAAACTTTACACACAGGACGGCGCAACGGAGGAATGCGGTATCATACATAGGAACTGTAATTGGTTTAACATGTATCACTAGATAGTAGGAGCAATAAAGTGAACCAATATGTTGGAGCACAAGTATGAA